CCTTGTTTGTGAAAGATCGTTTTTGTTTCTTGTACATCGATGTAGTTTTGCGGTAGTTCTTTCTATTGGCGAAAACTTCAAGGTTAGATCCGAATATGATACTGCTATTGTCTAGCACGAACAGTTCAATAGGGTTTGTACAACCATACATTAGCAAATTAATCAACAACGTAACGCACATGAAGTAGTCCTGAGCGGATTGTTTGAAGTTATGTCAAAAAAAATTATCATGGTTATTGTTTATAAAGTTATTTTCTTTTTTTGTGTTTTTTTCCCTCTTAAAGCTCAAACTGTTACTTATACATATCTAACTAACAGAAAAACGAAATAGATGATGGCTTTTCATATGCACTTTAATTTAAGGACTGTTTGAGGAACCTTAAAGTCTAATGAGTAACTGTCATATAGACATGGGTGGTCTTAATTTCCAAATGCGCACATTTACAAGTTGAATACGCTTCACCATCAAATAAAAGTTATAGAATAGGTGGTTTCTGTTGAAAAACATTTACCTCGTACTCAGAGCAACATGCTATTAGGAAAGTTACTGTAAATGGCTATATTGACCAATACTGAATAGTTTAGAAGTTTTACCATGAACCGCGCTCCATGCATCGCATATCGAGACTAGTGAGATCTGACTTACCTTGGGTGTCCTTGATTACTTGTATCAATGTCTACCGCAACAAAAGTTGTCCTATTACAAGAGATCAAAACCTGCAGAAAATAGATATATAAGCAGTCAGGTTTTAATTGCACTTTGTTTTCTTAGTGAAGCCTTTGAGCCGAATGGCTCATAGCTGCCGGAGCTTATCCCGGTTTCTGTAGCATGAAGCGGCTAGGAGTATTTCTACTCCCCCTGGACGGGATGCTAGTCCATCGCAGGTCACTCCCCAGCAATTTTTTAGGTTTCCCCAACAACTCGCCGGTGCCCATTTATACTCCTGGGTGGAGAGAGACACTGTGAGAGGTAAGTGTCTTGCCCAAGAACACAACACAATGTCCCTGGCCAGCGCTCGAACCCGGACCGCTAGATCCGGGGACGAGGGCACTAACCACGAGGCCACCGCGCCTCCCATTGTTTTTTTAGTACAAGAATATACGAGTTAGTGTCAAAGTTCTCCTATCTTACTTCCTCTGGCAGAAATAGAGTCCGAACCGAGTCAACTCAACAATGGGTGTGCCATGGGTTGGACCTGATGTGGCATTTCAATCGGCTGTCGATGACACTTCGTCTTTGGTGATTGGTTGCATTGAAATGGCGTGATATTTCAAGAGCCCAGGGATATCGGAAAAAGCCCTTCAAAACCCTTAACAACGGCGACTGTTTTTAACAAGAACTCAATAGAAGTCCTGGTCCAATATTTAAACTCTGCTATAAAAGTTCTCTGTTATAAACTTTTGTTAGGTTTAGACCTACGACGTCATGGCATTTCATGTGTTTAGATGTTTGGTTGTTTGGCTGTTAAAGAGGGTATACGGCATTGAAACGTGCCAGACCAGCACAAAACGGGGTTGTCTGCTGAGTGGAATGGGTACTAGTAACTTAATGGGGATGCCACTGGGGAACCAAGAAAGCCTCTTAGTCGAGTCTCCTGAATAGTGATAAGATCGTTTCAGAAAAGCTATTTGGTTATGGTTTTCCTTTCAGTTGACTAGCATTTGTGACTTTTGACTCCTATGGTGGCAATATTGACGTCCATTGACTGCTTTCATTCAAAGACAGCGAAGAAATAAGTTGTAAGCATTCGATGCGGTGTATCAATAACAGATAAGCAGGGCAACTGTAGTAAATGTGCATCGTCGTACCCCAACAAAAATAGCTGAATGAACTATTTCTGCACAAAAAGACGGTTGCATATCGAGTATTACCCCGACAAAAGAGTTAACTGACAAAGCTAGAGGTACGGTTTTAGTAGTCTCAGTGGTCGATTAAACGGCGTGTCAATATTTGCGTACCGTATATGCTAAGTTATGCTAAGTACGCTTTCTTAAATAAAAAAAATTTGACGGAAATTATTCAAACAAATGATACAATTGCTGTCAGAGGCCCAAAATATTCTTTTTCATATTTATTTTGCGATATTTATAATACAAATGGCTCACCGAAAATGATAATTTGTCTCCCGGTAAGATAAGCATTGTCTCGGACACCACGTGTTCGGTCTCTTGGTGGTACAGGGATATATGAGTGAAAGCCTAGCCCAGCTTTTATATTCCTTACGTAGACATGTTTACATGTACTAGTAAAAACAGAATAACGTTTCCTGCTGGAGATAAATATTTATACCTTCTTAATTCAAAGACAACCTCTTTTATGTTTGGTTCTAGGAAGTATATCTGTGATTTTAGCATGTGAATTTTAACAAATGAAAGCACGGCAATCGTGGTAAATAATACGCTTTGTGAGCTCCAATCCAGAATGGCTAAATGAAATGTTTCTGGCCAAAAATTAAAGAGACGATCGAATACAGAGGACAAGGTTTTGGCTAAAATTTCGCGCTTGAAATATAGATGAGACAAGTCTCGAAGCCTCGAACAAATTAAAAGTAAACGGATTTAAAAAGGACTTGGGAACTATAGAATTACCCTAATGAACGCGACATTATGTCATCGAAAGCAAGAAAACTTTTCGTCTGATGTAGCTATTTGTCTTACACTAATTGAAGAACAGTATTTTTCATCCGAAAGACGAAATCCACGAAGTGTAAGTCAAATTTACTGTAATCACAAGCAGAACTCTTGCCTCGTATGAACGCATTGCGGATGAACTTTTTTGTAACATTATACGGTTTGTGTGGCTAACGTGTTCTTTGCGCTTATTATAATATTTGAAGTTGCGTCTCAGTGAAGGAGATTGTTTATTTATTTATTCATTTTTTGCTGGACGTTATTCGTTTCAAGCGGAATATCTTTATTTTCTTTTGTAAAAATGTTCATAACAGAGGGGGTAGGCTATGTGGTACCTTGCATTGTCAAACAGCAGCGCACAACAATGCGCAGAGATCCAGTGTGGTGTAATGGTGAACCACCTGATCAAAATCCTGTCAGACCCAACAACGGTCCTCACTATAAAAAATATCACGAATAACATGTGGCGAGCCCAGAGGTCACTCTAGCTTGCAATATACAAAACCTGCTCCTGGATTATAGCCAGTTTCTACTGTATACACTCGAAACATTTTGGGAGAGATTGATACGAATTTAACTCGGTAGCAGGACATTGGACGACACAGTAGACCTGATTATAGTTGTAAATTAATTCACGTAATATATCAAACACGAAAGTCGTTTATATTCTGGAAAATTGTGACAAACAAGAAAGGATACGCCAAGATCCTAATGGCCAATTCCTTCTATGAGACGCTCCTGCAGGAAATCATGGTAGTTTTATTCATCAAAGAAATATCCAGTCCAAGATGATAAATACAACTAACATGATTCCCTGGAGGAGCCAAAAATTATACGCCTTTTGCAAGTCAAATGAAACAAAAGTTTCCTTGATCACTTGGCTTCCGTCATTTTCAGGACTACAGTTGTGTTGTTTTGAGTTTTTTGAATGATAAATGACAAAAACTGTGTCGGTTTAGGATCTTCCCGTGAATTGACTTTTGCTTTTCTTCTTCATTCAATTGCTTTTCAGTGTAGTACGTTTGCAAACCTTTTCAAATTAGTGTACATTTACAAACCTTTCCAAAGTTAGTACCTAATAAGAAAAAGTTAAAATCTTTTTTATAATGGATTAAGTTTGGTGTTCAATCAAGATCACATTCGTTAATACAAGTTAGTCTGTCCTGAGTGCCGTTGTACCAATACTGTTACACGTTGTTTTTGTTAATTTTTTTTTTTTTTTTTTGATTTTTTTTTTCTTCTGGATTTCATTATTAATGATATTGGGGATCTAAAAAATGGGTTACCATTTTTAGGGGGATGGTTAGGTGATGGGTTTAACTAGTAGGGGACCTAGTGTTCTTTTGTATGCCCACCTGCCTCATGGCGAATATGTAAAATAAATAAATAATTAAATAAATAAAATCTTTCCTATCAAACAATACGCAGTTGGGTCAGTTGTGACAACATGTGGTTTTGTGTAGTTTCCAGGATAGCTTTGCCCATGTTATTTCGTGTTTTTTCGTAGAAGAAAGCTCAACAAAATTGATTTTGTTTAACAATTTCTTTCTGACGGAACGTTCACTTCCCGTCAAAGTATTTTAAGTTTAGCGACACGTGCCGCACTCGTTTTTCATATATCGTATGGTCAAATACAGATATAATGAATGATTCAGTAAACCAATCAGAATGTTATAAATGCCTTATTCCAGGTTGAAAATTTATTAATCCTTCGTTATCACTTACTAATGCAAACTTAGCTCATTTGTTGCACTATGACACAGTTTGACGGTAGATAATTTAGTCGCTTGAGTTTATGTAATAAGTCAAATTATTCTCGAGTTTTGATTGGTTCTTACTTATGGTCTATTGGAGGACAAACGTATAGATGATATTATTGATATTTTTTTGGTTTCTGTATGATATAAAACAAGAAGACTCCATGTTGCCGTGCGTCTGTTCGGTAATAGATCACAGACGACATCAAAATGTGGTAAGAACATCAGTGGCACACTCGCCCACCGACTCGAGAGCCACTTTTTTGTTCTTAACACATTTTGACGTTATATGTGATCTCTTTCTGAACAGAAGCATGGCAACATGGAATATAGCGTACACGCTTGTAAAACTAGACGACACTAGGGTTTATGCATTCCTTGTCACTTTATTTGCTTACATTCTATAAATTCATCGCCATTAAAAGTTCAGATCATTGATACAAGTAAAAGGCATCTTTGCATAATATTTTCCCTTAGCATTATAATTCAGACCCATTTATCCATACTCTTTCATGCATTACTCGTGTAATTGGTGCACTTGGTTGATCTAATTTTAAAATGCAGGACAGGGTTGCATTTCACATTCCTCTTTATTGTAGAAGCCTGGTTCTGATTTCTTCCAGCCAAACAAGCGACTAGCATGCTTCTTGCAGGGCAGAGGAACTAGGTTCCAATCGATCATACCACGCCCTTTCTTACACAGCCACTCGTTAGCACAGGAGAAATAATTCTGACAAAAGAACTTCTCGGCAGGCGCCCTGGGTGATGGGTGCCCCCCCTCCACAATATAGTGCTTGTTTTTATCGATTTTGCTTTTCAGGTCTTTTGCTTTGCTACCCCAGAGAATCCAAACTGATGGATTGGTTTTCTCGTTGATGAACTTCATCATTTCTCGGCTAAATTCTCTCCACAGTTTTATGTGCGAGCCAATCTTGTTCTCAACTAAAGTTAAGGCTGTGTTTAACAAAAGAACACCCTGCTTAGCCCATTTTATCAAAACACCCTGGGTAGTATTAACACAGTAACCTTCATTTCGAGCCTCAAGGACCACCCTCAAGACGCTCTGGACAAGTCGGGGATGTACCGAGGGATCTAGACTAAAAGAGAGCCCTGTTGCTAGCCCGGGTTGAGGAGCTGGATCTTGACCCATGATTATGGCCTTCACTTTGTCAGGAGGGACCATATTAAATGCTCTGAAAATCCATCCTATTTTTGGATTTAGTCCAAACCCTTGGATTTGAGAGTCATTCATGAGGCGATCGGAGATTCCTTGCATCATTTCCTTGACGTCTTCTCG